CGGGGGGGGAGTGTGGGGGGTCGGTTCTGGGACAAGCATGGCGGGGCTGCTCTGGAACACACCCGAGGGGCGGGCTGGCACACATGGGGGGGGCTCTGGACCACGCGGAGTTGCGTGGGGTCCAGCTCGGGAGCAGGTGTGGGCTGGCGGAGAGCAGAGCCGGCTGGGGGCACCTGCTCCGGGACACGAGTGGCGTGGGCTCCGCTCTGGAACAGAGGCTTGAGCCAAGCTGCCCTAGCAGGTCCACAGGGCTGGACCCCACAGGGACGGAGGGGGGGGGGGGGGCAGTTTCCCACAGCCAAGGCACCTGGCACGGCTCAGGGCTTCTGCAGCAACCTGCGATAGGAGAATTAAGGAGAGCTCTGTGGGCTGACCGACCCCCCCAACCCAGCAGAGGGACCCTGACCAACACCACGTTAACAGATGTGGCAGATGCGAATTCAGGCAGATGCAACCAAGCAAAGGACTCCGCTCTGGTCGGTGTTCAGACACCCAGGAGGTGCGTTTTATTGCAAAGAAAACAAAACCACAACCCTGTCGCTTCCAGGGCCAGACGCGAGTGTTTCTAAGTGTTCTCCGGCAGCAATCCCGAGCAGCGGCCAGGGCTCGCACACAGTTTAGGTCTAGCAGGAATGAGGGTGTTAAGAACAGCCGGGAGCCTGGCTGTCAGCCAAGATGTGCCCACAAGGCTCTCCTGAGCCAGCCCAGACAAAGGTGGTTGTTGTCTGACTGTTCAAGGTGCCCCAAACCCTCTGCGAAGGAGAGGTGCTCCTGCAAGGCTGCGAAGGTGGATGGGAACAGACGAGCTGCTGACGGCAGTGGATGCAGTGGGATCCTGCTGCAATGGTCTAAGGTCACACTACAATGATCCATACGATAATGTACCTTCATTTCACACCGCATCCTTTGCCCAGAGAGATCCTTAAGGTGGTATCTTGAACTGTATTCTCAACCTGCATTACATACTTCACAGCACAGTTACTGGTCAGTTCTCATTGTTTCTCTACACCCTACATGCCGCAAGGTGGTCTGCAGGATGCAAAGTCCTAGCACATGTTGGACTCCACATTACAGATGCTCTTCGAGACATCTGGGCAACATCTGGGAGTAATCTGCAGCTTGGCCATCCCAGAGCACATCTGGCTACCGTGCCACAGAGATGGAGAGCCACTCTGATCTTGGCTGTGCATCCAGCTGATGTCATCACCGGCATGCCCTGGGGCACAGAGCTCCTCACACCAGCACTTGATGCTCTCTCTGAAGAACGACCTCCATTTCTCAGAGCCTCTGCTTTCTGGCTGTGGTCCCCAGGAGGAGAAGGGGCAAGTGGAGGAGAAAGTGGCGAGATGGAGCTGAGACCCTGTATTGCTACCCAGGGCCCCTAGATCGGTGACTCCAAGGAATGTCCCATCTTTGCAGACAGAGCTGTCCTCACACAAACCACTCCTTACGTGCCTGGTGCGAGCCCCTCTGCTCACTGGCAAGGCCATCAGCCCCTCACGAATAAAGCAGGCGACTGTCCTAGGCAAGTCACAGGAAACAAATACTCAGAGATAAGAGGGGGGGGGAAGTCCTTTTTTTATTTTTCGTCTCCAACTCCCAGCAGCCACCAGGTGTCAGTGCTATCAAACATTTGGCAGATGGGACTATAGCAAAGTCCGAGTAGGTGGGAAAACAGTTTTCCAGGAATCACTTTGTCACCTGCATCTGCTCTGTCGCCTGGCACACCGCTCTGAGAAGTCCAGCTTTGACAGTTCTTGTTAAAAAGAAGTTTAACTACGTTAAGGTGATAGAAAAGCTTCCTGTTACAAATGCTAAGACAAAGTTTCTCTTCCTCTTTAAACCCTCCCTGTGCAGAGCTGGAAACCCAAGCACTGAACAACAGAGTAAGTAGGCTATCAACAGCCTCTCTATAGTGCTCCCCAGCCCGCAGGTCCCCAGAGATGACCCATCTCTGCAAGGCTGGCGGGAGAAGGACAACAGTGCAATCGACTTAACAAGATCAGCCTAGTGCAAAAAAATGATACAGAAAAAAACCAAATGGTAAAGGTATAAAAAGTATCACCAGACTAAAGTGAAACGCTATTAACCAGTAGATTTCTGGAGCTAAACTGAGATCATACAGCCAGGTGCACTCTGTCAGAGACAGCAGAAAACTGTTCTCAGCCTCCTGACAGCCACCCTTAGACACTCTCAAAATCGCCTGAATGCTCCAGATGCAGAAGAGAGCTCTACAGTCTCTGGAAAACCTTCAGGCCATAAGAAGCCAGAAGAGCAAATCAGGAGAACTTGCCAGCTTATTAATAAGCCTGCACAGCCCCCTTGGTTTCTTTAAAGTTTGAAGACTTTACATCAGATCATGAGGTGCTGAGCCCAGCCAGAAGCATTGCTTTATCAGCACCTTGTTGTTTCTCTGAATTAGTAAAGTGGAGAGAAAACAGGGCAGCAAAGAAGCTCCTAGCGATCATGTGCACCAAGGAAGTGTTTTGTGGGTGAATTGATTCACACCTGATTGGTGGCACTACCTTTTTAATAGCCACTGGGCATTAAAAACATATTTAGTGAGGATTATTGGACTTAGAAACATTTATACGGTGAGATTGCCTAAAGGCCACAGCCATGCCAGGCCCTGTTATGCTAAGTGCTATACAAACTCAAATTTTAACCCCATGCTTTAATTTACTCACCATATCATAACAACAACTTGCATTTAATCCTGTGAGCCCCAAAGTGCCATCAACACAGCCACTGAACTTGTGCAGTTTCACTGCACAGACCCATCAAACTCAGTAGGAGCCATCAGCCAGGGGTGGTCAGAGAAAGGCCACATGTGGCTGTCCATGTACAGGGACTGTCCCCCATTATCAACTGCTGGGGCAGGAGAGGGAACTCCTCTGAGCATCTCTGCAACCCTACGAACAAGATACAAAAGGAACTGATGATCACCATCTCCTACATAACACAGAGAAAGGTATGGAGGCAGGGTAAAAACACTGAAAACTGGAATCTGGATAGGAAACCAAAGGCAGTCACCTTTCTTGAATCCCTAATAGACTGATATCAATGTGGTCCTACATTGAGGCGATCTGTGATTCAGTTTGTATGCAAAGCGCTATGCAAAATGAAACAACAGACTCTTGTACCTTGACTTTAGGCATTCACATCAGGGATGAACATGCTAAAAATATCTATACATACGGGGATAGATTTACAGGCTCGGCATCAGGCTGCATATCTGTGGTCTTTCTGTACAAAGGTTCCCTTAAAGACCAAATGCAAAGCTGCATCTTGCAGTAAGCAAGCATGCAGATCACCTTATCAGAGAGGAATACTGTTGCCTCTGACTGAAGCAAGTCCCTCAATCCCTCGATGACAGAAGAAACAAATGTTCTGGGATTTCAGGCTTGACAGTAGTTCTGAGTCTCAGTTTAGGCAGGGCTCAGAGAACAATTATGCATATTCACGTGCCTTTTATCACACATCTTCGGGGAGCTGGAGCCTCAAAGTTGCCTGAGGCATGCCTGAGAAACGTTCATTGGGGAGCTCTTAGATCTGATTCTCATCTCATCTGAACTGGCTTTTACACTTGCTTAAATGCAGTGATTTTAAATATGTTACCCCGATTTACACCTGTGGGATATTAAACACTTCCCCCTCCCCAGGGCAGCCTGCCAGTCTAAAACTGAGACTTAGACAAGGGATACTTTGCTGCTGATTTCACAGGCTGTTGCATGAAAGAGGCATGTAATTTTCCTTTTTGAGCAACTCTCCAACCTAAAGCAAATTTCCAGCTAAGATGCTGCACCATGGCACTGACTTCTCTGCAATCAATCAATCAAGGGTAAAGTGCTCAAACTTTGCAAACTCAGCTTGGAGCTGTGGAGCTGAAAAAGGGAGTGGGGCTGTTTGTGGTGATGATAGTGGGATGTTTTCCCCAGATGTAAACATCAGCTCATCTAATTAGCAGCTGAATGCTAGAGCACTAGAAAACCTATTTTCACATGTGGAATGCAGACTGTGCCCAGGACTGAGTCTTGACTCCCCTCTGTCCAGAATGCACAGGTTTTACTGCACCTGCAGGGACTGAACATGATCTCAAGGTCAGGATCTGGCTGCTGTAACTCCAGCTGGACTCCCAAAGCGAATTTACTCCCCAAAGCTGGACTCTTGGTTGCAGACTTAGCCTCACCGCCTTGCTCCTCAAGCCTAGCCAAGCTCAGCCACTACCAGAGAGCTACAGTAAGTGCATTTAAAGGTGATGAAAGCATTGGTGTTACTGACAGGAACACACACACAGAGACCTACAAACCCCACCCCTCCCGCTTCCCTCTGTTCAGTGATCCTCCTGGCTCCAAGCCTCAGATGTGGGCTCAGGACTTCTATTGGGAAAACTTGCCCAAAGACTTGACCTGTTCCAAGCCTTTAAGAAGTTCCTGAGAAGCCACCCGATCCCATGGTCCATCAGTCAAGATAGGAGAGACACAAGTGTATTTAAGGGGGTGGTTCCCTCCCTTCTTTTTCTAAAGATGCGTGTCTTCCTCAAACACATCCACATCCTCGCTCGCCTGCTTATTGATCAGGACATCCCAGCTGTCGGGGCCATTGATGGTGTTTCCACCATTCACGCTTGGCTTCTTCTCCTGCATTTCCGACTGGCTGTCACTGGCCACATCCAAGGTGGGGTTGTCATGGCAGCCATTCTCAACAAAGCGCAGCTCCTCACCATGCGACTGCAAAGAACAAGAGGAACACAAATGGAAACAAAGGAGGATAGGCCTTAATGCTGCTGAGAAGCACAATCAGACCAGGCTATGATGGTCACCGAGGACTTTGCAGGGTCAGAGGAAAAGGTAAATTTACTCCTAGCCCAGCCCTTACAGTGGAAACGACCTGTCTTGAGCACAGCGAGAGACAGGTTTGCATCTCTTTTACACCTGAATGGGTTCCCTTGCTGCTCCAGCAGTGTATCCAGCTATGTCCAGTAAGTGGACAGGGGAAAACAATCTCCCTCTTAACTTTCCAGTCCCCTCCTTCCCAAGAGGTAAGAGTCCAGCCACCTTCCCCCAGCACCTGCCCAGTGCTCACTCACCATGTTCTTCATCTTGGGCAGGCGTCTCTGCCAGCAGTTGTATATGAGCCCCAATACAATGATGATGGCACAGATGGAGCCGATGATCACCAGTACCACAAAGAGTTTCCCATAATCGCTGCGTGTCTGGTTGGGGTGCGACTGGCAGCTTGTCGTGGTTGAATAATTCTGGATGCCAATCTGGAAGGAAGAAAGGGGTACACTAAATCCCCTGGCCTGCAGTCAGGTGGGATCCTGTTCAGACTTTCCAGGGTTCAAATACAGGACTATCACTGTAGGCAAAGAAACTAAAAGCCAGGGTTGGGGAGTCAGGATGTACACTGTCTTCCATGAATAGAAGGTACATGACTAAGTTTAACGCCATCTTCCATCAAAGCTGACATGTCAGCAAATGCAAGTAGGCACAATCTTACTTTGATCATCTGCACAAGGATCACACCTATGTGCAAGACAAAGAGGCTTTCATGGGAGAAACTGCCCAGCATTATGAGTACCCAAAACAAACTACGAACCATTGATGGGTGCTGAGGCTTTGGTGACTGTGTGACAGAGAATGAAACCATAATAAATAGGTTTCCATTAAAGCTCTGGTCCTAAGAGGGTATAGTGGTCTTTCCGAGGTCTTGAAAGTGGACAGCTGCCTACTGATCCAAAAAGCTGCCCTAGAAATGGGCCGCCTGTGGTTGTCAGCAAAGAAAGGCCAATGTCAGTCCTAGTGACTTGGCAGATTTCAAGCAGGTTATGTATCAATTCCATAGTAAGTATGACGTGTGTAAGAGAATATCCTCCCTCCTCCTTCCAAGCTCGTGCTAGCGCAAGGTCAATGCAATGAGCAGTGTTTCATTATTGATAGAGCTGGAGGCAGGTGGTGAGGCACTGCTCTGGTAGGATGCACGTTAACGTAGGGTCACAGTTGCACAGAGAAGTGAAACCTTGCACCGACATGAATCCTTTCTGGACAGTTCTAGCTGCTGATACTTCAGTCACACAATTTCTAGAGGGTTGGCTTTTCGCACTTTCTCTGGTGTAAGCCAATCAATACAGCACTGAGCACTTAATTTGCTTTGTCTAACTGCACCAGTTTGTTAGGTCAGGGAAAAACCTGAGAGCAGACAGCCAGCAAGGCAGTGGCCCAACTGTGCTGCTAAAGTCAGCAGAATTACTCCAGTAGTGTAAAAAACCCAAGCAGAATCAGGCCCTCAGTGCCTACATATCCCATAGGCCTAAGGAGCAAAGTCAGAGATCATGGGACTCATTTGTCCTCATCTCTACCCTCTTCCAAGCTGCCTGTTAGAGGGCAATACGTGAGGGCTAGAGGCAGCTGCAGTAGAGTCTGGCATCCATCCCCTCTGGTCCTCTGCTTGCCCTTGTGTAGGCAGCTGTCTAAAGGAATGAAATGCAGACCCTGGGATTGCAGAAATAAGGTGTGTGAACGTGTCCCATCTAGTACAGGCACCTCTCCCACCTCCTTCAGCAAAGCTTGAGCTACCGAGAGCAGCCAATGTATGTGAATCAGCTGTAAGGTGAGCAGGGCCAAATCTGGTGCTCAGTGGCACCCACAACCACCACAGGCAATAGTGTAGAAGGGATGAGGCCAAGTATCCCAGCAAAATGAATGTGCAAAATGCAGCTTCACAACCAAGCCAGAAAAGCAGGGAGGGAATATCTCACACTTACTCTCTTAATGGGAGCAGATATTTGATGGCCTGGCAAGTACCAGAGAGGAGAGAAGGGAGTTTGCCAAGTGTATGACTCATCTGTTTGCCTGCTGTGGGTTCAGCATTCGGTTAGCCTGAGATATGCACCCAGTTTTCAAGGTGCTTATTTTAATTGTCTAGCTAGTCTTAACAAATGGGTGCAGGCAGACAGGCTTTTACCTCGGCTAAGCTCCTCTTAACATCCCCCAGTGCCATGAGAACATCTTTTGTAGGGATGACACCTGTAAAGAAGGAGACAGAGAGATCAGTGCTGCTTTCAGCTCAGTTAGCTCAGATATATGTACTCATCACTGTGAAATCCCCAACAGAATAGAGGCATGGGAATGCACATTTTTGTTCATTGGTACTTTATGTTAGGAGGCTGAAAGAATGCAAGGACCACAACCAAGGATACCTCCACATGTTCTTTAAAGAGCAGAAAAAATCCAGGCATGAACTGATACCAGAGGCACCTAGGTGCGCCCTCCCCACAGCCACAGCTCTCAGGATCTGTCTGCTCTGGGAGCGAGCAGCAGTGTCCAAAAAGTCATGGAGGCAGTTGCCTATGCTGCCCGATCCAGCCTCCCTATCCAGCACAACCTGATCCTGAGCTGCAGTGCTCAAGATGTCTCCACAGAGCTCCATGCTCACCAATCACAACCTTTAGCAGGTGTGTTTTGCTCTGCAGAGCACCCTGGCAAGGTGGTGTGCCTGGCACAATAGCAGAGTCTGCAGGAGGTGTGCTCTAACAGCTCCACTCCCAGCAGCAGACAGCTTCAACTAGGGAGCCACCAGCCCATACTGAGCCACCCCTTCCTGGGACCCTCCTTCCCTAACAGCTCCCAGGATGCTCTCCAAGCCAGGAGAGCAGGAGCAGTCAGGGAGGATTTAGAGGCTGAGGCCCATTTCTCCCTTTGCTTGCACAGCAGTAAAAAGAGGAACTGAAAAAAAGCACGATTCTTCAGAGCAGAAAATACTTTGGTTCCTGAGGCTTCTAAACTCAGGGATATCTCCCAGCCTGGCTGTCCTGCTGGAGTTCAGAACTGTTTTCTTCTCCAGGATGTCCCCTCTCATGATGGCATGAAGGTTTCTGTTTAGAAGGCCAAATGGTTACCAAAGCCTTTTCATTGGCACATGGTCCAGCCCAAGGGCTTGGGAGAGATGCAATGATTTAAGGCATCGATACAGAAAATACCACTTAAATATTAGCTCTATTTTCCTATCACTGGGGGGCATTTTAGAATATTGTTGGGGTTTTTTTTCATATAGGCCATAATGTCAACATTAGAGGCCTCTGTCACTAAAGCAGGCAGCAGAAGCAGTACAGGAAAAGCACTCCCCTACCACAAGGGGATTAAAGAGATGCTAAAATGCTCCAGCCCAGCCCACCTTTCACTGTGAGCTTTTGTTTCTTGGGGGATGCAGGGGGGGCACCATCAGGACTGGCCCAGTTCAGATAAGACTTACAAATTTTTAAGTGAACTAAGAGCAGGCTGTCATGTCCTGCCATTGCAGTGGCGTGCCCATGGAGGAGAGTATATAAGCATCAGGAGAAAGCTGATGGATGCTCTAGTGAAGGCGATCCAGGGAGGGAGCAAAGCAGGAGGCAAAGCACAGAAGATGGAGCTGCATGCAAGTGGTGAGGGACAAGCCAGAAGCCAGATATGAAGAAAAAGAGTCTTATGTCCTCAGTCCCCCTCCATCCCTCGAGTCCAGTAAACACTGGGAACTGGTGGTATTGAAATGGACTGGAGAGCAAAAGCTCCTTCCAACATAGCTGAGCACCGCCATTTGAGAGCCCCTTAAATACACACCCCCATCACAGGAAGGCTCCTTCTCCCAGCACTTACCCTGTTCCCCTGCCAGTGTCATTAGCAAGTGCTTGTCGTTCTCATTGGGTTTACTCAGAGATATCAGCCAGCGGTCCTGCAGCCCATCCGCCTGTCTGGAGAAGGCATCCTCTACCAGTGCCAACAGCTGAGGACCCCGCTCCAGCCGAAACTCCTCCTGCCACAGGAAAGGGACATTGGTGAGCATACGGTGGGAACAGGAAAGATGTAGCACTGCAGGGCTGGCACGGCTGCATGGCCGAGACCCCTGAACCAGATGTGCCCAAAAGCCAGCAATGCTAAACCTGGTGCAATGCTCCCCTGCACATCCCCAGTGCCCCAGGCTGGACCCACACACATCTCCTGACACAGCAACCCTCCTCGGCTCCTGGGGCTGCCATACACCCCACACCATGCCAAGCCCATCTCCCCTTGCACACAGGGATCCTGAAGCAACATTATCGTGTAAGGCAAGAAGGAAGCAGCCAGGGTCTTCCCCGCAGCCAGCACTGGGTCAGCGGGTGCCGCTCAGCCTGACATGCTCCAGCCATCCCTCGGCAGGCTCCTCTCCTGCTTTCTCACTCCTGTGTTTCTATTCTTATCTCCGGTTGCCATGCCAACCTGAAGGCCACACAGATGATTAATAAAATGGAGAGCTCTTGTTGCCATGGCAGTTTGAAGCGCTCAGGGCAGGCACAGGCCTGTGCCGAAAACGGCCTAATTGGAAAAGACACCGATGACTGGGGCCTGAATCACAAGGGCCTGCCAGTGCCTCCTCTCATCAGGTTATGGGTTTCAGCAAGGGGAGGCAGGAGGAGCAGCATGAGGATGCAGCGCCACGCTGTTCTGTTGCGGCTCCAGTTCACAGCCCCACTGCCAGCCTGCAGCTCTGTTTTGGGGGATGGGGAAGAAGGGGGAGCATCTAAGCCCAAGAGCAGGAGGAAGACAGAGGTGAGATGTTTCTAATGATGCGGAAAGCAGAGGTTGCAGAGCACTGATAAATTCTCCGCAGTGGAGAAAAGGGAGCTGTGAAGGAGCTTGAACGCACATGCACCGAGGTAGAGGTCACCTCCTGATGTATAGCCAGGTACCACTGTTGGGTCAGATCCTGCAGGCCTCGCTCAGGCAAAATTGCCAGGTATATTGAGTGGGAGATGTGCCCAGAGAGAGACTGAGGTGACTCCCTTGCCCAGAGCCCATTAGGAAGATAAACGGGCTGCCAGCTTAACCCAGCAATACAGACATCATCCCTGCAGCAGGTAAAAGCCTGGTGCTGTGAAGAATATTAAAGCTCAAGGTGCAACCCTCTGGAAGGGCCTAAGCATCCTCCTTGTCACTCAGCTTTTCAGTGGGACTCAGCACCACACCAGATCAGGGCATCAAAACACAGGAAATATGTGAGGAATCCCCACTGACATTAAATTAAACTACAGCACTTGCAGTGCAGGTTCTCCCTCACAACCCTGGAAATCCAAACACCACAGGGCTCAGATACAGAAACTAGAAAACAAAAGGGACAGGTAGAGGGTAGGTGAGTTGCCCAAACTAAGCCGATTACCGTGGGTAGGAAACAAACCGCATCAATATCAGTGGAAAGGAGAAGAGCTTGATTCCAGCTTCAGCCATGCAAAGCGGTAATGGGAGGCAGGGAACGAAGCAATGTTCATGTTAAATATGTATGTTGACAAGTGTCCCTTTGAATAAGGGAGAGGACAGCACAAATCATTCGCTGGGAAATATGTTTTGAAACATGAAATCAAGTAGAAAAACAGTTCAGCCCTGCCTATCCCAGGGCACTGTCACCCTTCAGCAAGGTAGAACTGAGGATTCAACAGTAAAGACACAATTTGGTCAAGAGACATCTGCACATCTGCTTTTCAGTTCTCACCCTTACAGTGGTTTAAACAACACATGTGCAAGTGACCACAGGAAGGAAGCTACTATGTATTACAAAATTAACCAGCATTTAAACTCCACACAGATGGGATAAAGAGCAATGGGGACTAAGACACAGAGGAAACAGGGCATCAGGACTCTGGTTTTCAAGGACTGATTTCCTGAGTTGCACTTGTGAACTGTAGCGGAGATACTTCAAACCTTCCAAAGAGCAAACCGGTTTGCCTAAATCAGGAGGAAAGAGACTGACTTTTCATCTACCCTTAAAGCAGTCAGCATGCTTTATTGTGTATAGGAATTCCCGTTTTCCCTGTCCCCAAAAAGTTCACCTCAAAAAAACCAAAACACACACACATAAAAAAAAACCCAACAACTCACAAGTAGTGGAAATAGGTCAGTGCCACACAGCCACCCTGCAGTAACAAAGCCAGCCAGCTCTGCCCAGAGCAGGAGCTGCAGAAAGCAAGAGTGCAGACACGCGAGGCCAGAACACAGTTCCCCGATGAAACATTTCGGTCTCGGGCTGTCAGGCTTGTAATCATTTCTTAGAATTATGAAAGGCACCTTGACCCCAGGCCTTTCACAACTGGTTTTAAAGTGCCTGATAAAAGGCCCAGCAGAGGCGAACGAGCCCTTTTACCAGAGATCCACAAGGGGCTCTGGGCTCATGAATTAACTGCAGCTTTATGGGGATGGATGGACAGGCATTGGATTTGAAGAGCGTGGCTCGTTAACAGACCCAGATAACACACAAGGTAACAGGGTGGGGAGAAATGGCACTTAAGGAAGATTTAGTGACAGTTGTTTGACACTGAACCATTCATGCTGCAAATGGGGAGTCTCTATTCCTCTGAGCCATCAGAGGAATGTTACTATATCCTGGAAGGAGGGGAAGGTAAAGGAAGAGAGGGAAGGAGAATTGCACTTCAATCCTGCCATGTTTCCTACCAGTAAGAGGTGCAATGTATTGAGATTTAGGGCTTTTAAAATGTTTTGTAGTGAATGCAGACAGGAAGAACTCTGCCTGCCTCCACTTCTTTAAGCATTATTCCCCCCATGCCATCAAATCTCCTTAGACTGACTTACACAGTCAATGTTATCCGACATATTCAGGATGATGTAGTTTTTCCCCGCAAGGTTGCTCCAGTCTTTGCAGATCACCTGTAGAGACAAGACAAAGACAGCTAGGTTCGAGTAGTGAACACAGCTCTCCTGCTGCAAGCACAGGTACACAAGGGACAGGAGCAAGGGGCTGTGCCATACCCCCAGGAAGCGCTTCTCAAAGGCTAAAGCTGTCCTCTAACTCTCTGTACTAAGGAGGAATCACTATTTCAGTGCTAGCACGTGAGGCAGGGACAAGGTTACTGTGCCACCTTGCCACAGCCCAGCCTACCTTCCACCTCTACCTAGACCCCAGGAGGACTCTCAGGTACTCAGTGGAAAGCTCTCTAGCCTGCAGCCTTGTTCACTCTGTGATCAGCACTCAACACAGAACCCAACCAGGAGCCTCTGTCATCCTTAAACAAACTGGTGACAGGGCAGCACATCGCAGGCTGGATCAGACACACAGAGGGACTAAGTCACTTGCTCAGGCTCCTGAGTACCATGGGGTAGAAAGCAAAATTAAAAGCTTTCCTTGGTACTTTCTCACCAGTCAGCTCCTGCTACCTATTTTCCCTTAACCAGCTGCCAGTTTGCTGGATTCAGGAACTGCAGTTCACCTCACACCTCCTCTCCCACGGGCTCTCCTAGATCAACATCCTCACAGATCACTCTACCCTGCTCCACCTGCTCTGCATCTGGTCCCTGCAGGCAGCAGCAGCAAAAATAGCACTTCCCTCTCACTCCCTTTCCAGAAATCCTTAGGGCCATTTTTGTCCTGACACTTCCAATAATGCAGGCTGAGGAAACAAGGAGCTTTTGCTGCTGTGCATGCCCCAGAGGGCAGGTGTTTACTAGAAGCAGGATTTTGTGCAGCAGTTTGCTGGGGAAGATGTGAGGGGGCAGGGCTTTCACCAAGGATGATGGATACCCTTAAGAAGTGCTACGAAAAAACTCTCCCCAAAATTCAGTTTTGGCTGGCTGAACAGAAAAAAGCTACTTCCACCAGACTTAGGGACGTGGGTAAGGTTAAGGGGTTAAACACCCCCCAAAAAAGAAGTACCCAAATTTGTCCACTGCAACCTCCCACCCACTCCCTGCTCCCAGCGCTACCTGTGCTGAGTCCCAGGGCAGCTCTGTTGGCAGCATGGCCATGTGGGCATCCCCAGCCTGTGGTGACAAGCTCCTCTCTGCTGCCACAGTCTCAGTGGCTGACTTGGTGTCATTCCAAATGGGATCCAGCGCAGGCTCATCAGCCCTGTCCCACGGAGATGCAGAAGAAGTGGAGTGCTGCTTGCTCCCAGCAAGAGTCTGGGTGCCTGGGGAGCTGCCTCCAGGAGAGGGTGTTCCCACAGGCGTTTCCACTGTCTGCTCCATTTCAGTTAGCACCGTGGGCTCCAGCATCTCCCAACCCACCGTGGTCTCTGAGACCTCCTCTCTGGATGAATGCTCTTCCCCACCAGCCTCCACTGTGGTCTCTGCAAGTTCTGCTCTTGTGGTAGTCACAGTCAGCTCTGAATCTGCTCCCCCAACAGCCCATGTGTCCCCGGCTGTCACCTCAAAGGGCTCTTCTGAAACACTGGGAGACCTTGCAGCAACAGTAGTAGAAAAAATAGAGGACACAGGCAGAAGACCTGGTCCCATGCTGCTCCCAAGGTCTAAGCCTGGAGGAACAGAATCCTCTTCTTGCCCTCCTATGGCTGCCTTGGTCACGATACCAGGCCTGGCAGAGACTGTGGAAAACAGAAGGGTGAAGGAGTCCTCTTGGCCCACTGGTTCAGAAGATGTAACCTCTGGCCTGGAGGTCTGGAGGCTCTCCACTCCTCCTCTTGAGTGGTCTATAGGGAGCAGCCCCTCCTCTTCCTCCAGCGTGCTGGAGAAAGGCGTGTGCAAGTCAGGCTCAACAAATTCTGCCGGCGGCTGGACAGTAGCTGTTTCCCAGTTGTCTTTCACCTGTGTCCCATTCCCTTTCAGCAGAGCCTTCTGAGATGCAGCAGGAAAGCTGTAATCTAAAAAGAAATCCAAAAGACTTCATGTCACATCCCAAGTAACCGTGAACTCTGAAAGGCAGAGAGCTGGCCCCATTATATGTGTCTAGCCACATATGGGGTCAAATGGCAGAGACCCTCTAACAGCAGGTAGTTTGCCACTGAAAAGAACAATCCCATCTGACAAGTGCAGTGCAACCTCCCGCCCTTGCCCAGCTCCCTGTCCCATCCCAGCAAACCCACTTTCCCTAAGGAATAATTCACATGTTCATTCTCTCCGCTCCCTTCTGTCCTGAGGCATTTTCTCAGACAATAATAAATAACAGTTTTGACACCTGGCATCTTTAAGGCGAGATTATGAGCGTTAGAAATCAGGTTGAGACCCAGAGATTTGTTTCCGATGGGATTCAGAAAGATATGGGACAGTAGCAGCAGTCAGACACAAGCTAAATGGAAAATACTAGGGAAGACAAACAAAAGCACAGCAAACCAAATCCTACTCCCTGGTACGCCCAAGTAATACCACCAAAACCTGAATCAACCTGGGCATCTTTGAAATGCAGAACTTCAGTTTGTACAGCACTTCACAGCAAAGTCATCCCACAAACATCTGTATTATAAGACTCCCATGTCATTAAGGAACGGATTTGCTGCAGGGAAACAGAAGCCAGAAACAGGAGCTGAATCTAACTCCCCTCCTTCCAACTTCAGCCCCTGGTTTTTCTGTGGCTCTGACCATGAATGCGTCTGATGTTGCTAGACAAATATAGATGCTGAAGAATTTGTATCTCACAAACGTAAGGTCAGAGCAGGCAGTGGTTTCTTCTGGAAGCCCAGAAAGGAGCTGGGATCCCAGGATAAGGAGAACATCTGTAAGATCAGACACATTAAGCTCAGAGCGGCAGGCATAAATCCAGCAGGCATAAATCAACCTTCACCTTTCTTGAGAAATTGCCTGTACCTGAGGAGGTCCGTTTCAGGAGTTTGCATCCCAATTAACTCCTTTTCTCCCCAGGATGAGCACAGCACATATTCTGACTGAGAAAGGGAAGGAAGACGATCCCTCCACAGCCAGAAACAAGCACCCTGCCTTGTCTATGGTTATTAAGTAAGTGACTGTCTGAAATCCCCAAGGCCCCCATCTCCTCTCCTGCCTGCCAAAGCAGATGCTCCATGGAGCACAGTGCACAGCAGCTGTCTGGATGCCTTACAGAGGAGATCTGCACAAGGAATCTCCATGCATCCCTGACTCCAATCCATCGCTTGCTGTTGCCAGAGCGGATGCAAGCTCCCAGGCAGGGAGGGCCATGTCAGCAAACACATCCATTGCCTTGGATATTCCCTGGCAACCAGGACTGCCCATGCTGCTCCTGCACACTCCTCCCCATCACTCCTGAGCGGAAAACCACGCTGCTCCCTCCACCCCAAGCAGAAGGTACAAAGATGCTCCCGTTCAACTGGCAAGTGGCTTCCCTAACCCACATCTTATTCCCTTCATGCTGTCAGCAGCTCCCTTCAGATGCTCCCCAAAGATGAGCGTGATCCAGCTGCTGACCTTCAGGGTCGTGACATGGTGACCATCTCCCAGTTCTGACTGCAAACAGGCCACTGAGATCTACTGACGACTGCAGGCAGAAGCAATGTCTGCTTTGCTGCTGTGTTTCAATAGAGAGCACCCATCCTGACTGAGACTCTACCCAAGGACCCTGAGGATTAAAAGATTTTTGCTACCCCAACAGCCTACCTAGTGATACTCCCTCAGAGGCCAAGGAGACTGGTAAGAGGAATCAGCAGCAGCACGGACAAAAAAAACCAAAAACATCTCCCCTCCACTGCCTGGCACTTGGTCTTCCCAAAGGCCCTTACCAACAGCTACATATCCCAGTGTCTGCAGACACAGTCACTGCCTTGCTAGATGGATGGTGGGTAATGGCAAGAACAGCCACAGACCGTGGGATTGAGGACATTAGGTCAGGACCCTCTTCAGACAGATGGTGAAGGTTTAGTGCATCTCTCAGGGCTCTGCTGCTCCTCCTGCTGCAGGGATACTCAGGGTTTGCACCAAAACCACTAACCTCAGTGAGAACCCTGCCTGCCCTGACGTGCTGTGGATGAAAAATGAGGGTTTCACCCCTTGAAACAAGACCCTGTCAGATGAGATGTTATTTTCAAGGATCAATGATCCAATCTTCCATCTCCTTTGCCTAAAGACACTGTCAGTTATTCTTGATTCCTCTGCAACTCCTCTCTTCCCTGCCGCTCTTCCCACCTGGAGGAGAGCAAGAACTGGCAGATGGGCACAGCAGAAAAACAAACTGAGAAAAAGCAGCATGAGGTTTGCCCCATGGGAGCTAGAAATGCTCCTGGCCTGTCAGCTCTCCTTTGAAGTGACACATTCGACCTTTCCTTAAGGTGCTGTCATAGATTAGCTAGCTCCTGTGGGGGAAAGCCCTGCATGGGACAGCCATGCCGCCTTTCCACCAACAAGATCTAAACATACTGGAGGGACTGCCACCTCTGCCATCTTTCCCCAGCAATGGAAGTTCAGGGAGAACCCATCCCACTCTCTCCCAGCAGCTTTCTGTCTTACAAGACAGCCAAAGACTGAAACCTGAGCTGTTTCTCTGGGCCAACAAATCAACAGCGTAGAAGCAGACACAGGAATCCTCACAGTCACTACTAATTGAGTTAACATCCTCACTTGCCACCAGTCTCTCCACTATCCTGCAGGCTAAGCTGGGAGCATCCTTCTCCCCTCTGGTTCATAAGACCCCACTGATTATAACTTCAACTCTCCTCAAATCTTGCAAGGGCTGTTATTCAGATACGCATGGAGAACAGTTAAACTTGAGGCATTTTGGTCAGAGTTGTGCTGGTTTGTGCTCCTTAAAACAGGGAGCTCTCCATACAACCCAGTTCCCAAAGGAGTTCAATCACTTTCCAGGTTCAGAGGTTCAGGGCTGGTGAGTCAATCCTTCCTTCCAGACTTTCCAGCTAGACACTTAGTTCCTGTCTGGAATCACCTTTTACTGTCTCACTACCAAGGGCATCTGTCCACTTCTCAAGATCAGGTCTCTAAGGCACTCGTATGTTCTTTTAGTTTACATACCTCTTCTATGAGTTGAAGGAATTTTTGCACCCTGTCCAGCTCCTTGGTATGATCCCAGCCACTAAGCTGGTCCCAGCATCTTCTTCCCAAGGCTCCTTCCAGACAAGCTGGTTTCTGTCATTCATCTGTGCAATGCAAAGCTAAGAGCCTCCCCATTGGAAGAGTCTTCTCAGCATTTCCCTTGATTCCCCTTCCCCCCAGCCCCAAGGAAACTCAAAGGGCATCTCCCATTTTTAACAGCTCCTTCCGACATCCAGCTAGCAGCTCCCCTTCAGCAAGTGGTCTTCTAGACCCTACAACCCACTGGTCTACCTGGTTGTCCTCTACCTTCAGCAGATCTACAGGTTCCCATGCCCTGGGCACATGGAATTGCACCCACAGATCTTCCCACCTACCTATGCCAGTGCTATCCACTCTCATCTCCACCAGCTTTTGTGGAGAGAAACAGCAACCATGGAACAGAGAGGCCAGACAGACTCAGGTGACCAGTGCTCCTGCTGAAGTGGGGCAGGGTCTTCTGTTAAAGGAGACAGGTATTATGGAGGTGGCTCCAATACCAGATTTGTCAGGCTCATCTAATTTCAGTGAGGAAGCAGAGCACTTCCAAAGAGAAGGGTGCCTGAGAAGGGAAGAGGCAGTAACTGCAAACACCATCAGCTCCCTCCCTGCCAGGATCTGCTCTGTAAGTCTCCCACCAAAACCAGCAGTAGGTTGGAGCACAGGAGAAACTTGTGGCCACACACAGAGGTGGCAAGTGCCACATACCCCTTCCAGCCACAAACAAGAGCAGCCAAGCTACGATGGAGCCAGCCTGATCACAGAGGGACAGCTCAGGAGAACTGCCTGCTGGAGCCACAAAACTGTCCCAGCCCAGCATCTCTGGCCAAACAGCCTATCAGGGATGGACCAGTTGAGCGTAGCAAGCAGCCACAGCTCCACGTCACATACTCTGCCAAATCTTCTCAGTCACACCATCCCCTTGGGAGTCTGGTTCACCGATATGAAATTCCACACCTCACCTCACCTCTTTGCCGCCACATCCTTAGCTACACCCCTTAATGCTTTCCATCAGTAGCAATATTACTCACATTGCAGCATCTAGCTATCTTTGCCCTCCCCCCTGCAGCTTTTCCCTTCCAACCTCTCTTGCAAAAACCCTCAGGCACTATTTTCTAAAGAAACCATCTTGCACAGCCCTCCTGCCACTCCAAGTCCTGCCCTTTGCAACTCCCAGCAGACTCAGGTCTGGGTCACACAGATTCATTTCCTTTGCCTGGGGAGATGATTTGCCCTGGGAGAGGTGAACATGAGCTCCACACCTCTGCAAGAGCCACCATTTAGGCAATGGCCTGCTTCCTGCAAAATCAATACTGAAACTTCCCTGACACCAGATGGGCCAAGACTTGGCACTGTGCCACAGCATGACTCCCCAGCCAGACGTTTAATTCATCACATTTCTGCTTCTCCTTCATTCAGAAGAGCTGGTTTCAGTTACTGCCCTGCAAGGTTGCCTACCCTGTATTTGCCACTATTAGCTGTTTAAAGCAACTGTGACAGCTCAGAAAAAGGGTGACCCTCATTGTTTTTAGTACACATAACCTGACCATAAGGTCTTTATTGGATTAAACTGGAAGATCATGTTAACCACTGATTGAATTACTGATAACTAGAAGGCACTGTAATAAAGACAAGAACATTCCTTGGCTCCCACCACAACAACACAGCCTGATAGCACCATTCATACTAAAGTACCTGCCAACTTTGGGAAGTGCAAGGTGGGCTCTACTCGCTGCTTAAAATGTAGCCAGGTCTGAGGTGGTATCTGCTCAATGTTTTGCAGTATAGAGCAGTAAGGCTAACTGCAAAAAGGCACAGTCCATCTCATCGAAACTGCAGGTGGATTTCAAAGAGGCAAATTGCAATTACTGGTGCTGGAATTGAGCCAGCTCGGCTAATATCCTAATCTTCCAGAAGAGCTAGGAGAAGTTACTATCTGTGACTCCAAGACAGGTCCACACACACAAAAGAGATCATAGTTAAAAGAAAGACCCAGGGCATCAAAGTGGTTAGGTCTCATTATGCTTGGAATTTTCTTCAGGTAGAGACTGGGCACTAAGTGCTTGCAGCTGTTCCCAAATAGCCCCATGCCTTTTTCCTGCTCACTGTATGACCTGCAATAAGGCTAGAATAAACCACCCTCACTCATATGCGGATTCGGTTGGGGATAGCTGCACCAGAATAACACTATGCACAGAGAAACTCTCTTCGTCACAGGTCAGCCTTTGCCAGCAATGTCTTGGTCAAGATGGCTTGTCCCAAGATAGATCACCTAACATGTCAGTGTACACTAAACCAGGGCATAAACAAGAGGCATCCCAGGAGCTGAGCTCAGGCAGGGGGCTGCTCAGTGCTAAGCTTCTTATGTAGACAGTCTTTAACAGGTGCTTCATTTCGTTAATACTTGGGTTGAAGATGGTATTAAGAACTACAGATTTGCTGTCAGTCTGGATGAAGAGGCAGCAGATTTCAGTAAGGGTGAGAGAGACTGGGATCTCTCTGGCCAGAGGCAAGTAATTCATCATGGAAGGAAGTGAATCTTACTATCAGAGAAGAGTTGGGGATGGAAGATATTTTATCCCATTAGCTGGTCAGAAAACTTATTTTTCTTTGAATGCAGTCTTTCTAACTTGTCTGTCCTGCTATCCCTCATCCTAGCTCTCCTGGGAATCCCTTCTGCTAATTACTATGAATAATTAAAAGATTACAATTCCCTCCCCTCCAAAGCACCACATGCCATCCTAGTAAATCACCAACCTATAAGACTAGATTTGATAGCTCCCAGCACAGTCATGCCTTTGTCTTCAAAGGCACAACCTTGGAGCTAAAAGAGCAGACCCTGGCTGTAACGAAGCAAGCTTCTTGCCAGCCCACCATCACACTGGAAGATGTGATGATGCACTCCAATTCTCGGAAGTTCAGCTGTTGGGCGAGGGAGGAAAGGGACTAAGTGCCTTCATTCACCAGACATTCACAAGTCTTGCATCAGTTTTTGGGAGCTCACACTTCCTAACAATTAATTATTAGGCTGCCTCAACCTAGAGCCTTCCTGGAAGGGGAACACATGAGGCACTGCGTTCTGACTGAGCCAAAGGAGAACATGGAGAGGTGCAAACCAGGGAACACTCCATATAACTCTTTCACTAAAAATCAGGGACTCAAAGGGACCTGCAGCCCTAATGACTCCCATCTTCTAGCCCTAAAGCTAGAAGAGATGTTGCATCTCTTGCCCAGGAAATCCAGTGTGACAGTAGGAAACAAGGGGGATTGTTTTGCCTGGAGGCTTCCAAGATGGGGAAGGTGGGAAGAAGTGAAAGGAGGACAAGAAGAGCCAGATGTGAGTCCCTACAGGTCCACTCTATCTTCAGGGTTGATCTGCAGCTCAGGCCAATTCGATACCAAAGGTATGCTGAAACAAAGCAGCCGAAACCAAACTACAACCTGAGAAGCTTCTAGGTTCCCTGAAAGCCTGAAGGCAGTGGGACGCAGAAGTAACAGGCTCACAGCTCCACTGACTTGCCTCTTGGCTGAAATATGAGTCACACACTGCTTCCTTCCGTAAGGATATAGCATCCACATTCCCACCAGACCTAATCCATCTCTTCCAGATGCAGCTCCGCTGGGTAGCAGCTGTGCATGGGTTAGCACACATGCAAGTGTGCACTTCTGTGCACGCTCAGACAGAATGAGACAAATCTCAGGGTCCTTCCAACAAGCTGGCGCTCACTGATGTCAATATAGATTTACTATTCCATAGCATAAATCACCAAAAGCACATTATTCAGAAGAATCAGAGCCCCAGGCTGAGCTGTGCTCTGCCAGTGGGAGTTTGTTCTCACTTTCTAATGGACTAACAGGTGACCCTAGATGCCACATGCTTTCCAGAAATATTTTTAAAGGATGTTTGAGTGCACTTGAAAAAAAAAAAAGCAGCAGCTGCAGATTGTTATTACTTTTTATCTCTTGCAGCCTCAAAGTCACACAAAGGCAGAGGAGTCTCTCCACACAGACTTCAGAAGGACATAAAAAAAAATGAGAGATGACTACTACAGCTTTGAAATCTCAGCAGATTTGGCCTGTCTGCAAGACCACCAGTTCCAGGCCCAATAACTTTACACCAAACACAGAAATAAGCCAGCACAGGTCTCCTTTCACAGCAGGGGATTTTCTCTCTCCAGTAGTATAACAAACTTGTTTTGTGCTTTGACTGATAGTCTCAAATCTATGCCTGGGACAGAGCTACCAACTACGTTGGGTTACACTTAACTGTCATTTGGAGAGAAATGCCACATAAGGAAAACTTATACCATAAACTTTTTTTTTAAACAGCAGCAGTTTGAAACTGTTTAATGGATTTGTACATTGAAAATAACCCAACAGATGTCATTGCAAAGTTCCACAAGGTATCACATGGCAGCTCTCACATGCATGCAGCATGTAAGATCCACTGGTTGTGTGCATCCCTCATGCACAGGCTTTGCATGACAGGAGAAGGCTGTCCAATTTAGGGATGCTATTACAATATCCCTTATTGTAAAATGACACACAGCAGGTTTCTAATTAAATTTTAAGTAGAAATGCACTCCCAGCTCTTGAATAATTCAAACTGTTCTATTCACCAAGGTTCTGAAATGCCACCAAGACATGAGCTCTGGACACAGCAACAGCCAAGGGAAAAAACAGTGCTTGGAAGCACAGAAGTGGTTAGCTGGGCAGTGGATAGGGCAGGATACGTGTAAAGGACAGTTGAAAGAGCACATCTGTTCATGGAGGAAAGCACTGCAGGCAAGAACGGAAGGAGAGAGGAGTGTGTTCTGCATACAAATGGGGTGAGGCACGTGCAAGAGGCAAGGCTGGGTTCGGTACCCACTGCATCTCACTCTCAATGCACAAGCACATGCTGTTCTCCAAGTCACGTCCAGATCTGTGAGTACATGCAGGTGCCTGCTGGCACACAAATAAAAGCGCCGCTGAGCACACTGCCAGTGTGTGAGAGCTGCTAAGCCAGAGCATGTCCCAAGGATGCGCTGGTAGGAATATGCACCATCTGCCCCCAGCATCACTGCAGAGGCGGCATCTGCACAGCTTCCCCACGGCCAGACCTGCATGTGCCCCAGGGGCCACACAAGCCGCAGGGCCACAAGAGCATGGCCAGAGGAGCTTAGCGGCAATGTCAGTGAGCAAAGGGCTTTGGAGACCTAAACTGGGATGGCCCTTGCCCCGCATAGCATGCACTGTGCCCCAGTGGGCAGTCCGAGCCATAGCACTGCAGCAGCCCTCAGCCCTGTGCAAGCACAGGTCTTTTTTGAGGTCACAGAAATAAGAGCGAAGATAAAATAAGACTTGTGCTTGCCTGCTAATTGCAGACCTCAGTCAGACTTGCTGAGAGGGAGGCAGCGATACTGGGTAAGGGAGGAGGGATAAGGCTGAAGCCTGGCCCCTAGGTAACACTTAATATATGCCCCACATGACACTTAAGAGCAGGAACATGTGAAATAATCTCCTAAGCTACTGGAAACCCTGCAACGCTCCTCCTCCTTCCTCCCATCCCTATCACTGACAGCATCTCAAGGCCAATGAGGGACTTGGTAGGCAACCGCTGAGGGGACTCAGTGGTCTCAAAAAACACTCCACAGAGGAAAGCAAGCTCAAATGCTAATGAAACTTATCTTGGCCATGACTCCCAAGGAAACAGGCAGGACAGGGTAAGCAACAGGACAGCTGCCCAAGGAAGAAAACCTGCTGTCTTCTCTCAGACCAAATCCCCACTGAAGTCACAGAGTGAGGAATCCAGAATTTGGCCCAGGGAACCCAGCTTTGACTCAAACACCAAGATGGTCTTGGTCTCTGAACAGGGGTCTTGAGACCTTTAGGTTGTGCTTAATTGACAGCAACAGAAAGAAGGGAGAGAGAGGAGAGTATAAAAGGGGGGATGAGAGAGAGAGAGAGAGAGAGAGAAGGGCACAAGGCAATGGGAAACTAGGTGGAAGCAGTACTTTTCCCAGCTCATAGCAGCTGAGGAATAAAGGCTCAGCTGTAACTTAGTTTCTAAAGCCTGTGCTTGCTCAGGGTTCACTAGGGACACATCAGGCACTGAGGTGAGAAAATAGAGCTGACATTTAATCTCAGGTCCTCTTAGCGAGAGTTGTGTCAAAGTACGAAGACGGATCCCTGCATCCTTCCACCTCCCCTGAGTCCTTGCAGAGTGAGGAGGAAGAATGTGGTAAAAATAACCTACCTGTTGCTGGTCCCAAGTCCAGGCTGGACTCATTGAGCTCTCCCCCATCTTCCCAGAAGTACTGCGGAGGCTGTAAGATCTTGGACTCCTCATTCTCCTCACTGGCAAAGCCCGATCCCGGGGCAGCATGCAGAGAGCCAGGGGCAAGATCAGGCTCCGTAGCCTCTGGGCTGGTTTGTTCGTGGGAATTCATGGCCTCCAGGTGGGACATCATGGCAAACTCCAGCAGGGAAGTTGATGTGAGGCCATCGGCGGTTGGCTCTTCAGAGGAGGCAAGGCAGAGGCACAAGATCCCTGTATAATGACAGTAAACCCATATCAGAGATAGGACTGACACCCACTGGGTTTGTCTTCTTGCAGCCTGCCCCTGCCAAACCAACCTGCTGCACACACCTCCCTTCGGGGTAACCTGCCCCTCAGATGGGCTTTGCTCTCAGCTGATGATGAAAATCAGGGTATTTTGGGAAACATCCACAACCATGCAGAGGAGCATTCACATCCAGGAGGAGTCAGTGCCAAACAGCCATCCAGTCTGGGGCAGTCTCTTCAAAGGGGCAGTGATGGTTCACCCTCTCTGAGGGTTTTTGCCTCTTTGAAAGGAGGGAGTGCCTTGTTAATCACCCATCCTGGAGAGGAGGTGCAATGTCTTACACTTAAGCCATGAAAGTCTGGCCCTGTGAAGTCAATGACAGGTTCCTATCCGACTGCCAGCCAGGCAAGATTTCAACCTAGTGCTCCTGATCTGCAACTATATTATATGTAGGGGTACTGATTTAAACCAGTATCATTTACATCACCAATATTAATCATGTTTTAAATCAGCAGGCTGGAAATCTATTTTTAAGTCATTGATTTGAACTTCATTTTGCATTCACTTTTTTTGTTTTCATAAGCAAGGGCTGACTGTCTCAGGTAAGAATTAAAATGTACCAACAGCAAACATCTACCTAATGCTAAGCAGGGAGGCAGGTTGCATTTTACACTTTTCTTTCAACAATTATATCCTTGTTATTTCCATTTTATCTATTAGAAGGTTTGACTGACACTTATTGATTCCTGGATGAGACTTTTAATTGTGATTTGTGTCAAGGTACATTCACATGCATATTGAACTTCAATCAAAATGCAAGAAAACAGCACCGGGAACTTGGCTTTATTCAACCAATAAATACCATGACAAATACGGAGACATAAGGAAAAACTAAGATTACCAAAACATGTTTTACATTTAAAAGAGTTTTGTTAAGCAAGCAAAGTAACTAATTTGGGTGAACTGAATCAATTGCTTCCTAGCCCTCTGTTCTTCAGCACATCAAAACTAGAAGATCTCATCCTCTCACAGCTGATTTTCATTCATAGATTAGAAGAAAAAAGGACAAGTTTTCCTGCTTTCTCAGCTCATGCTCAGTTTCTCAATTCTTAATGAACTAGTCACTGAACTAATTGAATAAGCTGAAATGAAGACTAATTTGGTATTTTTCTTTGATAACTGATTTTCTAGACAAGGGAAATGCAGCAGATCTAATCCATCTGGACTTCAGTAAAATATCTGATATAGTGCCTCATGCAGAATTACAAGAGAGGCAAGAAAAGACACCGATTAGAAAGAAAACTGTAAGGCAACTGTAAGGCATTGGCTATATGAAAAATGACAGAGGCTTGTGCTGGAGGGAGGCTATTAGTGGAATTCCTCAAGGTCTGTCCTTGGATCTGCTGTTCTTTAACATTTTCCTAAGTGACCTTGGAACAAAAATTAGGAATTTGATAATGAAATTAGCCAAGGACACAAAGCAAGAATACATCCTTGCTGCACAGAAAGACTGTAGGTACAGCTAGGTGATCTTGAGACTGGAAATAACAGAAATATTATGAAAAGAAATAGTACAAAGTGATGTCACCACCTTGAGAACTAGCACCAAACATTTCTGATACAAGATAGGACACCATACATTAGAAATGTCTTAAGAGGAGAAACTCCTGTATTAGAAACAGCCTTGAGATATCACTGGAATGCAGATGTGAAAATGCTTGCACAGGCCTGAAGTATTAGAAATATTTTACAAAGCACTGCTGAGACATCACCTGGATGCTGCACGCAGATCTGGATACACGTGGCCTGAAATGATTTAAGCAGAGCTGAACTGCCTTCAGGCAAGGGCACAGACTAGGCAACCTCCTGAGGTTCCTTCCCACCACTATGTCCTACGACTCCATATCCCAGAAGGACAAATTCAAATCAGGGCAAGTGCCAAAATGAGCTATGGGGCAATGGCAGATGGGTTGGCCCTGGTGCTTTCCCTGAAAACATTGGATTGTTAGCACAAAAAGTTTGGGAGTTGCTGCTCACTTGCCAGGCTAATTACCAAACCTGTCCTTGGAAAACTGGAAGCCAGAAATGCATTTCTCAAGCCTTCTGCCTGCTCTGAGCCTCTCAACCTTCCTCCGCTATTCTCTGAACTGAGCAAAATCCAATATTGGTTACTCTTTCCCATATACACTTGGGCCAGGCTTCAGCACTTCTCAATCTCATTTATTTTGTTCTATTGATCCAAGGCAAGATCAGCTGAGGCCAGCGCAACAAAAAGGGAACGGCAACACGGGCAGAGTATCAACGGGGAAGGAAGCTACTGCAGTATCATGGAGCCAACCAAAACACCTCTGGGCATCCCTGGGGATGGGCTGACTCCCCATGAGCTGTGCACGCACAGTGAAGTCCATGGCTGGAAATAAGAGTTCGCACACCTCTTGTGCACAAGCATGGATCCAGAGAGACCTGGCCAGGCCAGCCCCTGTGCCGATTCAGTGGTGCTCACCAGGCTCCAACGTGACGGTGTCTAGACTGGTCTTCCCCAGGCTGACACAAGACACCTGCATCACTGACAGAGAGCACTGCTGAGCCCTGTGCAGCCCAGTGGAGAGAGCACTTGTCTTGAGGAGCTTACAGCCTAAGCAAACATAACAGAGAGCAGCAAGGGGGAGAATAGGAAAATTATTTTCAAAGTTATCAAGAAAAGGGGAGCAGAAGGATGGGGAGAGACCACAGCAGGTCCAAGGCCACATGGAAAATTTGGTGTAGCTGGGACTGCAACTGACTGCCTGGATCCTACATCAGCTCTTATCCATCCCAATGCCTCAGTTTCCTTTGACTCCCATTAGCAGAGACGTGGCCGATGTGGCACTTTGGCTTTCCAGCCACACTACAATACACATACCAGGTCTCCCAGCCAGCTAGCCAAAGCCTCAAAATGTAACTCTGCACCAGCTCCAAAGACTGGCTCAAGCCTCTCTGTTTCCATCGGCTACACCTCATTTGGGCCACCTTCGGAGCTCAGCCACAGTCGTCCCATCACCTCTACAACAGACATCTCACAGCAGTTGAACCTGGACACCCAGAGAGCTAATCCCATCCCTGTGGGAAGCTCAGACCCTGGGAGTTTGTTTACCCTCATTTAACTCTGAAGTGTTTACCCAGTTAAAACCCCCTAAGCTGCATTATCTTGTTTACTGGGATGCTCTGCTCTCCTTAGCCCAAGATAAAACTACACCACCTCATCCCTAAGAATGAGTCATTAATAGACACAGCCTGAGCAAGCCAGGTTTCTCCAGGGGTGGATGTGGAGTAAGACAACACCTTGGGGCCTGATCCACAGGCACAGGATGCAGAGACTGGCCTGGGGGAAGCCTCCACGCCAGCACCAACTGAATGCCACAAGGCACCAGCGTACAAATCAGTACCTCTCCAGACAGCATCCTGACACCACTTCATACCTTTTGCACCAGCAGCAAAAACTCAGAGGCTTCGGGTGCCAAACAGCAGACCCAAGATTTGCCACCTTCCCCCTCTCTCCCAAGCATCTCATAAAGGAGCTCAATGCAGCTGTCGACTCCAAGGCAAAGAAAGAATCAAAGCACGAGCTGAGCTGGGAGGCAGGAAAGCACAGCCGAGAGAGGAAATCTAACGCCCAAGACATCAGTGGCTAGCCACTTTCCTCCTAGGACAGGGAAGAGGATTAGATGACTTCTATCAGCCATCAGTCTCCCAAATCTGTATTCTAAAAAGCAGATCAAGCGATAAGAATACAGAAACACAAACGAATAAAGCCCTGCGACTGTAGATGGGAGGGAGCAGGGAACAGAGCCAGGGCTCGCCAGCTGCTTCAATGGGGCGTTTGTCTCTCATTTCTATTTTTGCGGCACCTCTGCGTAACCTGGAGGAGATGAGGCTCTGCATGCTAAAGAGGGCAGGCAGCCTTCGGGGAAATGGCAGGGCTGTGAGCATGGGAAGAAAAACCCTCTCCAGATCAGACAGAGGAGGGGCGAGAAAGAAGAGAAAGTGGGAGAGGTAGGTGGAGGGGGGAGAGGGAACAAAGGCAGAGAGAGAGCACCAAAACCAGCATGGGAGCTCCCGCACTGGCTGCAAGCTCTCCAGCTGCTAGTACCCACAAAGGCGACATGTGGAGGTAACACTGACCTTGCAAAAGATGTTTCACCTCTGTAAGGAGCAGAATGGGGTGATTTCAGCAACAAGGAATAATACTGCAGTATTACCTTTCCAAGGCCACTAGAAAAGAGCTAGCCAGGAGGACACACAGATGAAATGAGTTTCCTAGTTGCTGACCCCACTGTTCCCTCAGAAAACAGTTCCAAGTCAAAGTGGCAAATCTTGCTCTGTTCAGCTCAGCATAGGATTCTATGCAACAGCCCTGGACAAGGCAGATGGGGGAGTTTTGCTCAACAGCAGAAAAAAAAAAAATCTGAGGAAAGAACATCTGCCATCTCTCTCCCAAACTGCTGTGAATAAGAGCAGTTTCAGATTTCTAAATGATTCTAAAAGAACCCCGAAGTATTTTCTACATTAGCTGACCAAGAACCACTTTATCCCTTTGCCACAAGGCAAGCCACCTCTTCACAGGACAGGGCAGCTGTTTAAAAGCTCCCAACTGGCCTATTGAATAGTACTAGAAGTGAAAGAGGAAATAAGTCGTTTCTGTATCCAGCTGAAATGAGAGGAGGGATTTGGGGAGATGAAATGGAATCTGGCTGTGACTGTCAAACAACCTTTAAAATCTTCTTGCTTTTTAATAAACAACAGGCTAACTTCAATTTTCTCTCCAAGGAAACACACAAACATCCCTTAAGATGTCATCACACTGGCTTGACTTACAGAGGGGCTGGTTTGCCCTTCAGTTTACCCAACTGAAGGTTGGCTTTTACCTCTCCTTCCTGTATGCTGTGGCTACACCACAGTGCCACAGAGGTAGGATCAGCCTGCTGAAGGGAAGAGCACTTGCCTGGAGTGCTCTGACTTACCTGTCTCTTACCACCAACTAGCAGGGCCTGTACAACACCACCCAAGCGCAGTTACACAATGGGTACCAGGGAGGGGGGTCAGAGCATCTCGGTATTGCCAATGCAGCAGCCGCAACAATGTCCATCTGGCCTTGCTACCGTTGACCTTCCTTTCAAGCTCAGCCCAAACCCAGGAGTTACCCAACAATGTTATTTCCTAGGAGAGCTGGGTCAGGAATGGGTCATTTACTGATAATCGGTTAGGACAGAAACACAATGACCAGATGAGGGAAGCATCTGCCAGGGATACTCCCTCCCCCAGACCACCGTGCCTGGAAAAGCCAGGGAGCAAGGCCCAAGGGCAGAGAGGAGAGAGGCCCCAGGGCCAACAGCACAAACCACTTCCAGAACATAACAAAACACAGCGTAATTTAAATAACAAAAAAGGATCCCAAACACAGACAGTGGAGGAAGAAAAGAAAAATGTTTTTCAGCTGAGGGATGCCCAAGCTGATTCCCTCACACTCACCTGGAGTCTCTGCACCCCAGACCCTCCATAGCTTGCACAAGGAAGCATACAGGATGACCGCGTATCAGACCAAGTCCTTCTGGTGCCAGTTCAGAGTTACGGACCATACCTGTGCTGGGACGCTCCACCTAAGAGACCTCTCCCAGTCCAGCTCACACACGACCTTATTGCTGCTCTCTCACACTGCAGCAGACCACTTACAAATCCAGCCAGGTCCCTAATCTCTGAGATCATTTCCAATTAGGGCTTCAGAAAACAAGATCAAACTGCCATCCTCCTCTGGTACTGCCAGTAATGAGGTCCCTCACCGAGTGTCCCTCTAAAACCATCCGCCCTCCCATGGCCCAGTACATTTTACAAAGCAATAGGAAAAGCATTCGGGGGCTGTGGGAAGTACATACACTTACCAACCTGCACCAACAAGCGGGACAAGGCACAACTGAAGAAGCCCTTGGAATGAGACAACTCTTTAGAGGGAGATCCTAGAGCACGCAATAGCTGTGCCAGCATCTTTAAGCTTTTACAGATCTTTACAGCTAGCATAATCAGAGAGCTCAAACACCAGGCTACAGGGTGTGCATGTCTGCACGTACTGAGTGGGTGCTACCTTGCAAAGGACTGCCAACATTTGGTCCCTTGGCATTTCATCAGAGAACAGCTAAAGCACGCAGACCCAGGTATATCCACGGGAAATGGCAAGGGACTACCAGAGGATGCACCTACTTTTGCAGATAATTGCAGATGTGCCCTTTGTCAACATATGTGCACCAGGGGCCTGACCTCCAGGGGTGCCAGGCATCTTCATCTCAGCACTGAAAAGAGTCAGGTCTCCTGTCATTATGATCAGTAACATCAGGACTGCTCTAACCACCACTACCCATCTCCACAGAAGAGACTCCACGCAAGCAGGTCATGGCAACTCAGACAAGCTTGTCTGTCCTTCCCCCTTCGCTCAACCATTCATGCTGGCAGTCACAATCTTGCTTGGTTTCAGTCTCCCAGACTGTTTGCCTTCGCTCCCTCCCCAGATCGTCTCGTAGCCTTCACACCTCCCTCCTCTGCTGCCGCAACGTCTGCTCTCCTCCGCGCTTCTCGCTATCGACAGTGGCAGTTCCCAGCTCGGCGGCAGGGCGGGGAGCAGGGAGAAGATGCAGCCCCTGGGGAAAAGCATCGGGCAGACAGTTGTATACAGCAGAAGTGAATTTTCTTTCCTCACTTACCTTTCCTAGGCCTCCTCAAAGCAGCCCACAGGTCCCAGGGGTTAACAGACCACAGGATGAAAGCCACTGATCTAAGAGAAAAACCACAGCCCACAGATTCCTTTGCCCCTGCAGCAGAGCAGTGACGACCACCCTGCCATGTGCTGGCATGCCACACAGCAGTCTCACCCTCAAGAGGCTCCACTCTGCACACAACCTCATGCATCCTAGGCAAAAAAAAAAGCTCAGGCAAAGGTAGTCCTGGGGCACACATACGGGTCCTGACTACCTTCACAACACATCAGGCAGGACAGGAAGAGCCGAGAGTGGTTGCACTTGTCACATAGAAGGAGGGCTGCAAAGCTGGCTTCCCAACAGCAAAAAATTATCCCCAAAACAAGAATGTACATCCAAACCCTGGTAACCACAATGGGGCTTAACCAGGCACACGGACAGCGGGGGGCTGATCTGAGCCCCAGCAGGGCGTATCTTCCTTGCCAGCACCCCTGGCCCTCTGAACAAACCAACGCACGTGTTTGCTTTGCCTCTGTGCGGGCTGCACTCGTGTGGCTGACAAATAGCCTCTCTCCATTCTTTTGGGATTACGTGTTTCAATAGCCAGTGAGAACGGGAAGCAAGTTCACCCGACCGCCAGCTGCGGGCCGTGATGCACCTTCCCCACAGCCCCTCTCCCCTGGGCCTGCAGCAGGGCTGCCATTGCTGCTGCTGCTCACTCAGGTACCCACAAAATGCCGGAGCTTCTTCCCACACTGAGCAAGAGGAAAAACTTTTGTGCGCTCTGATCTGCAGCTCATCGCTGGCAGCTTCCCCTTGAGGGCTTAATGTAGTTATTTCTACCCCTGATGCATATAATTAAATGAACATTTCCTTATGGCACCGAAGAGGCCAAGGAAAAACTGACTACAGGGAATTTTCATCCATCCTGATTTATACTGCCTCATCTCGGGCTCATTCACACAATGCTAACAAGGAATCTTCTAAGCAGGCAGAAGGGAAAAAAAACAACCTTAAATAGCCCACATGCAGACAAGCACCTGGGGAGACAACAAGAGGCAAGAGACCAATTCCTTCCCTTCTCCCTTGCTTTTAACCACATCATTTTCCTACTTGCAAAAGCAAAGGGGCTCCTAGAGCCTGGAGAGATATTTCCACGCTCTGTCAGCAGACCTGTGTTGCCCAGAAGTCTGATGGGACCCCAACAAGGCACACGTCCTGTTTCAGCCCATCCTGCAGGCCTGTGGAGGCTCCTGATCCTGGGAAGCACATGGGGAATTGCACTCAGTCCCTCCAGCTCTCTCAGGTTTTAACTATTCCTGTCCTGTGGGACTGGTGGAGCAAGGCCGGAGTGCACTGAATTATTCCAGGCTGGAACAGATCCTAAACCACCGAGCAAAGCTACTAGCCAAAACAGGGCTTGACTTATAAATTCCCAGCAGTCTGCATCTCCACTTCTGACCTCCCATCTAGGTAGGAGTCCAGGTGTCCGGAGATGCCTGGCCAATTGAGTCCAGCCCCCCAGAGCTGCCACAACCCACCAGGATTACCAATTTCACTAGATTAGGAACTGAGCTGTCCCTCAGAGCTGCCACTCACCTCCTACCCCTACGCCTCTCCCTGCTAGCAGAGGGGATCACAGGGAAATCCAAGGACCCAAATCCTCCATATCATCACCAGCTGGACAGTAATACTAGAAAGTTTCCAGCAGCCTCAGCAGAATAGGAAACATACCCTTCCTTCAGCACAGCAGTATCAGCTGTGGTCCTTTTGGCCGCTAGATTTTAAAACCACCGCAAGGTCCGTCTCCTTCCTCCACAGAGCACGTGTAGCTTTCAAGCGATGGGGATGGGGCCAACCCTCACCAGCAGATTGGCAGGGTGGGAATATGGCAGTTCCCCCCATGCACCTTGCCCTCCTCTGTGGAGGAGGTGGAGGTCTGGCTCAATCTGGGGACACAGGTCTCCTGGTGAGATGCAGCTAAAGAACCTTTCCCAGCGGTGCCTGAGTTTTCCCTAATGTGGACAACCTGCCTGGAAGAAGCCACAAAACTGGCTCCCTGCTCAGCTCTGGAAAGGCTTATTGCTTCTGTGCCACAGAGCATTGGCACAAAACCCCAACAGGTTTTCTGATCCATTTTGCTCTTTAAGCTCACTATTGTTGGCAAACCTAAAAGGCTTTATCCCTTCTCTTTAGGGAGCCTCAGACAACAGGGGTGAGGCACTGTACATACAGCTCATGGACAGAGCGGCTCCACAGATGACACATTCCCCCATGAACATTTTTGGGAGATTGGGGTAATGAGAGACGTGCCAGGGGGGCTGGATATCACCGTGTCACAGCTCGGTTGTGCAGGAAGACAGAGACTGGTTGGGAAATCAGCCCTTCCCTCCCAGCCAGAATGACTCAAGACAAAGACTCCCCCACTCTTTAAATGTCCCCGTTCAAAACTCCTGTTCCACACTAACCAGATTTCTGTACAAAAGGGATGGGGGTAGGGAGGGAGAGGGCAATCTCAGCCTCACAGGTCTTTGGGGGGATCCCTTTGTTGGGAAATTTCCCCAGACTATTTAAAAATAGAAGCAGAGTCTTCATAACTATTCCGAGTATAATTATTCCCGCACTTAATTGCCTTTCCCTAGCACCCTACCTCTCCTCCAAATTTCAAGAGCAGGCTCTTGGGGAAACACAGAGCAATTTGTGGTTCCCCCTTCCTTTGTGCCAGTTTCGCGGTAGTTAGCAAAATTACCACGATGCCAGACGAAGCCATCAATACATGAGAGGGCGGTTTTGGGGCAGCCCTGCCGTAGCAGGGTCTACCCTGCCGAAGCGCCGCGGCGGGCAGCATGCCCCGTCCAGGGCGACGTCCATCCTCTCCCCACACCGCAAGCGCTGTCGGTGCTGGACACGGCGTGCGGGGTCCCTGCAGGGACCAGCGCTGCGTACCCCCTCTCTGAGGCAGGAGACCCCCGGTTGAGCCCCCCCCCCCACTTCCCTGCGGAGTGAAACCCACGTGAATCCAGCCCCCCGTGCCGGGAGCCCGTGGGTCTCCTGTCACCCGCCGGGACAGAGACCGGCCACTCCAGAGAGCTCTGATACCCGGGTGGGGGGCAGTGACCGGTACCCAGGGAGAGCTCCGGGGTGGGAGACGGGGACCCGACACAGGTCCCGGTACCCGGGAGTCAACGGCGCTTGCGGGGCGGGGGGCTGATGGCGACCTGCCTCCCGCAAAGGTCCCGGTGTCCCGGGGAACTGGACCCATCGCAGGCCGCCGTTCCCCGGGCTTGAGGGGAGGGGGGACAGACCCACCCCCCGCCGGGGGTCCCGGTGCTCGGGGTCGCTCCGGTGCCCGGGGAGGGGACCGACACCCACCCGCTGCCC